GAGGGCACCTTGAACGTGGGCATCTTGAGCTTGCTGCCCTTGGGGGCCAGGTCCTTGTCTCCCAGGGAGACATCGCCCTCCAGCCTCATGCCCTCCAGCTGGGCCTTAGGGTCTTTTATGTCCACCTCCGAGCTGGGCAATGACCCTTCCAACTCGAGTCCACTCAGCTCTCCTTTGGGGCCTGTCAGGTCGACCTTTGGGGCCTTGATGTGAATGTCAGGGCCTTTCAGGTCCACCTTGGGCACCCTTACGCTGGGCATCTTCACCTTGGGCAGGTGCCCCTTCAGGCTGCCTGTGGCATCTGGGGCCAGCAGCTCTGTCTTGGGTGTGCGGCTTCCTGGGAGTGTCATGCCCACCTGGCCAGCGCTGGCCTCCAGGCCACCAGAAGGTAGCTCAATGGTCAGGTCACTGGTCTTGCCGTCTGCTTGGACGGAGGGCAGGGACATTTCCGCCTCCACCTTGGTCGCACTGGTGTCTACCGACGCCTCGATGGGCTTACCGTGGGATGACGTCCCAAACGAGGGCATCTGGAACTTGGGCATCTTGAACTTGCTGTCCTTGGGGACCAGGTCTGTGCCTTTCATAGACATGTCCCCGTCCAGTCTCCCACCCTCCAGCTGGGCTCCTGGGGCCTGGACGCTCACATCTAGGCTAGACAATGGCACTTCCATCTCTGGACCACTCAGCTCCTCTTTGGGGCCCTGCAGGTCCACCTTTGGGCCCTTGACGTCCACTTCAGGGCCTTTCAGGTCCACTTTGGGCATCTTGACGCTGGGCATCTTGATGCTGGGCATCCTCACCTTGGGCAGGTGCCCCTTCAGGCTGCCTGTGGCATCAGAGGCCGGCAGCTCCATCGTGGGTACTTGGCGTTCAGGGAGCGTCACGCCCACCTGGCCAGCACTGGTCTCCAGGTCGGCAGAAGACACCTCAGTGGTCAGGTCACTGGTCTCGACATCTGCTTGGACGGAGGGCAGGGACACGTCCACCTCCGCCTTGATGGACTTGCCTTGGGATGACACCCCGAAGGAGGGCACCTTGAACTTGGGCATCTTGAGCTTGCTGTCCTTGGGGGCCAGGTCCTTGTCTTCCAGGGAAACGTCCCCCTCCAGCCTCATGTCCTCCAGTTGGGTCCTGGGAACTTGAATGTCCACCTCTAGGCGTGGCAGCGACGCCTCCAGCTCGGGTCTGCTCGGCTCCCCTATGGAGTCCTTCTGGCCCACCTTTGTGCCCTTGATGCCCACCTCAGGGCCCTTCAGGTCGACCTTGGGCATCTTGATGCTGGGCATCTTCAGCCTGGGCAGGTGCCCCTTCAGGCCGACTTCATCGCTTGAAGCTGTTACCTCAGCCTCGGGGATGTGGCCGGACGGGAGCTTCTCGCCCGCCAGGCCAGCCGTGGCCTCCCTGTTGGGGGGCGGGGGGCC